AACTAGAGAAGTCAGAAGGAGAAAGACAAATACCAGATAATCTCACCTAAAGTGAGTGTAGTATAAAGGCTCAAAGTAAAGCGATAGACATGGCCAAAGAAAATAAACTCTGAGATGCTGTGAACAGCTGGGAATCTCATTCTGAAGCCAAGTTATGATCCACTTACTGTCCTAGATCTGTCCATTTCTCTGATTCGCTAAACTATTTTCAGTTTCTTCATATCTTTGTGTTTCTAAACATATTGCTTTCTCTGATAGAGTTACTGACACATGTTTTTCATTTTTTCTTTTTATGTTTTTTTTTATATCTCAATTTAGAGCCTTATTTCTGGAAAATTATCTGTGATCTTGTTCTTGTAGAGTTTATTATTTGATTATTATGACAATCATATCATGATAAACTTGACTTTTTTTAGAGTTAGCACTTATCATCTCTTTACAAATTTGTTCTCTTTTTTATTATTTTGGGAGTGGGGCATACTCAGTGATCCTCAGAGTTGATTTCTGGCTGTGAACTCAGGCATTATTTCTAGCAGGGCTTGGGGGCAGTGTATTGGGTACCAGAGATCAAAATCAGGTAGGCTATATGCAAGGAAAGTGGTAACTTGCTATACCATGTCTTTGTCCTGTTATCATTTTTTGTAGAGTCTCACAGCTTAGTTATATTGATATTGATGTCTCATACAGTGATTAGCAAAAAGAAAAACTCAGCAAATGTATAAATATATACTTACAGTATTGATTTGATATATTTTAGTATGATTACCAACATAACCTTGGCTTGCACCTCTATCAACCTCTATCAACCACATCATCATGACTTTTCTTTGTAGAGAGAACAATTTAGATTTAGTTTCTTAGCAACTTTGAAATATAGAATATGTAACCTAGAGGTTACAGTCATTATATTGTCAGAGTTTATCATTTTCCAGCTGCAAGTCCCTTAACATCTTCCCAGTTTTCTTACCCATGGTCACTGACAGCCACCATTTTGCTTTCGTTATACAATTTTATTTCTTTAGATTCTGTGCATAAATACTGTATTTGTTTTTTACCACCTGAAAAAAATGTTTTTGGAAGTGAGGAAAGAAAAAAAAGAAAAAAATAAGAAAAAATACAAAAACAAACCACCAGAAAAGACTAGAAAAGAGTAGAATAGGGTAAGGAACAAAGAGAAAAGAAAGAAATAAATATGTGACAGTCTTTAATTACAAAAGATATTTGAGTGGAGAATCAGCACAAACAGAAATAGCATTGTCAGTCATTTTCTTGTCTAAATCACCACTTAATTTACAACCTAGATGTTATGTACTATCACTATCACTATCACTATCACCCTGTTGTTCATCGATTTGCTTGAGCAGGTGCCAGTAACATCTCCATTCTTCCCTGTCATGTGCTAGTGTAGCCTGATGGCATATTGGGGGCTCTTTCAGGGTCAGGGGAATGAGAACCATAATTGTTACTGTTTTTGGCATATCAAGTATGCCACGGGTAGCTTGCCAGGCTCTGCCATGTGAGCGGGATACTCTTGGTAGCTTGCTGGATTCTCCGAGAGGGATGGAGACGGGGAAGCCTCTAATCATCTTTACGGGTGTTCCCAGTCAGGCATATATGTGGGCAGGATACTTTTGGTAGCCTGCTGGGTTCTCTGAGAGTGAGAACTAGACAAAATTAGCTTCCGGGAGCTTGGTTTTATAGTCTCTGGATCTTGGCCTTTGATGGGGTTACTCGGTGGTTGGTGGGTGTAACTGTCTACCTACTGGAAGATGGGCAGTCTGGGTGGAGGAGGCCCAGTCCTGAACTGAGCAGGCTTGGAGATCTCAGCCCCTGGTCCTGCACACCTGTGTTCCTCTGCTGGTTCCTTCATGTGTGAGGCTCTTATGAGTGTGTGGAGAGTGGTCTTAGCAGGGCTGAGGCTGGGTCCTGGAGTTCTTCAGCTTCTGGGTCTTTGCTCAGGGTGAAGAGGAAAACTCAAAATGCCCCCCTCCAAGGGGTCCCGTTATATATTATAATATATATTATAATATATAATATTTTATATTATATGTTACATATTATAGAACAATAAAATGTTGCCAACAACAAAAATCTCTTTTATATTACAATATGATCTTTTTTGCTTCTGAAATCACTAATCAAGGTGAGTGTTATCTGAGTTAATACATTTTTCTTGTTAGAGTTGAGTCATTCAAAGAACTTTACGGTTGACTTGAAAGCTCACACTCTAATTCAGAGATATATTATATACTCAATTTCAGAGGTGCAATGCCCAATTCTAGTCAAGCCCTCTTGACCTGAATCCCCTAAGAACTCATTCTGGGGCCAGATATATGGTACATCAGGTAGGTCACTTGCTTTGCACACAGCCATATCTGGCCTATATTGTCCCCTGAGCCCTGCCAGGAGTTATACCTGAGCACAAAGACAGGATTAAACCCTGAGCACCATCAGCATCGCCCAAAGCCAAACCAAACCAAATCAAAACAAAAGACAAATTCGAAACAAAACAAAAACAAAATCCTTAACTCATTAAATAATAGGACTGAGGCAGTGTTTTTATCATGCCACACAACTATTTTTCTTGCATACTTGAGTTACAGCAAATAATTTCTTTTAGTAATTTTATTAAACAATATTTTGTTGTCAGTTTAATGATCAAGTACAGTGATTGTGAACATCACCCTCTTCCTTTGATCAAACGAGTAAATTGTGTGAAACTGAAAAAAATCATCTGAACTTGCTTATAAATTAATTATTTGCCAACCAGCCATCAATATAATTTTTCAAGGTGTCATTTGGGTAAATGTTACATTGTATTTCTTCTGCCTAATATTCTGTAGCTGCTATCCAGTCACTGTCCAAGTAATTCCCATAGGGTTGTGATGAAACACAGAAGATAAAATTGCTGGTGGTTTCTATTTCTTGGCAGCCAACATCACAGATAGTTCTTGTGAATGAATCTCCTAGCTATAAAGGCATACATTAGAGACAGAGAGTCAGAAAGAGAGAGCGAGAGATTCAGTAGGTGTCAGATTCAGAGAGAGAGAGAGAGAGACAGACAGACAGAGAGAGAGAGAGAGAGAGACCTCATAATCTATAGGTATAATCTTATTGACACATACATAAGAGAAAAAAATCACTATTCAGTCTCATATTTTCCTATTGTGAATATTTGAATATAGATTCCATTTTTGTCTCAGTAAGGTTTATTCATCCAGGAAGATCTCAGGTTGTCCAAGTTCATGTCGTGGGACCACATTCAAGAAGGCGGCAGAAGTAAGTTTCCCATCTGGAATGACAAGTTAAATAATAGGTGAAAAGGCATGGATACTTTTAAGTAGAATTGATTAAAATTCTATTCCAAGACAGTGAGAAATGTTTAAATTCTTCATTCATTTATTTTACAGTATATGTTCTGGTGACTCAATAAAATAATTCAGGAACTAGAGTATTATAGCTTAAATGTGTACTAACAATATTTCAGTTGGAATTTAGTCTTAGCTTTGCATAGCAATAAAATTTACCAACTTAATTTCTTTGTACTTCATTTGTTTCACTGGTTATTTAAGTGGAATAACATCAGGTAACCCCTAAGGTTCTTTCTACCAATAGCAGTATAGAACATTATGTACTTTAAAGGATTTAATGAGAACATTCAAAGGCATTACTCTAAAATGAAAAGCAGTAGGATTTTATTAATCTTTTCATGCTATCCACATAGTACTAGAATTATCCTAATAAATATTAAGTGAAACAATAACAAAATATTGGTGCTTTGTAAAAATTATATATGTATATCTCCATATGTAATTTCCATTGCATTACATTAACTCATTTAAAAATTCTTTTATCAAACTTTTATCTTTTTGGGGGAGGTGTTTGGGCCACACCAAAAAATGCTAAGGGATTTCTCCTGGCTTTCCACTCAGTAATTATTCCTGGCAGTGCTCAGGGATACAGTATGCTGGAGATTGAACCCAAGTGTGAGGCAAATGCCCTACCCATTGTACTATGGCTCTGGCCCTGATTCTTGAATTCTTTTTTTTTAAAAGACTTTATCTGCCAAGACACTAATACACAAAGAACTTGCTATAGGATAAAGTTTGCTGTTAGGAAAGAGATCCAAAAAGATTCCTGAGCATAGAGTCTGTTTGTAACTCCTAACTTAATATTCCCAATACTTACATGTTACGTTCTATTGTTACACACCTTTTATGCTCCATAAAACTAGCAAAGGGAGTTTAAGTAATTTTCCTAAAGTTGTAGTGCTAATAAGCTGTAGAACTAGAACTTGAACTTTGGCAAGTGAGATTTCAGGCTTCTTTCTATCAAGTTACCTTCACCACATTTAATTGCTGCTTTCCTCTGCCATGGGAGTGATCTTTACTTATGATAGCCCAAATTATTCAAGAACAATTGCAACTCCTAGATTTAATTTGCAAAACTCTTTATGATATGAGCAGAAAATTCTTTTAAATCATATATATCAATATTTCCAATTGTAGAAAACATGTTATCATTCCCCTCAGAAGGTGATATGATAATTTACATATATTATTCTATATGTTCTATTAGCTAGTCCTCAAACAACCTTTTTCTACTACCCATTCCTCTGTCCCATACCTTACATTTAAAAAAAAGTAATTAATTTAAGATTTTTATGTTCTGAAGTGTTTTTGATGAGAAAGAGGAAAGAGAATGAAGTTATGATTGGGAAAAAATATTTTAAATCCAATAGAACATTCTCTACATTCTTGTTTGAGAGAAAGGAATTAAAGGTCTAAGTGTGATATAAGATGTGTAAGTCAGTAATGTAGCAAGAAAATGATTTATTAATAATTTTAAAGAAATACTTTTATTTACTATATTTATATTTGTCATTGAAAATACTTTCACAAGATGGTTCCTGTTCGGCTTTCCCTGCGTTCAGTGGTCTATAACATTTACTTAATTTTTCAGAGAACCAGAGTCACTCAACCAGTCCTACCTGGGCCCCCATGGAAGTGGCCAACAATGTCACAGAATTTATATTCCTAGGACTTTCTCAAGATCCTGGAATGCAACTGATGTTCTTTTTCCTATTTCTCCTCTTCTACATGGTGATCATGCTGGGAAATCTGCTCATTTTGCTTACAGTTGTTTCTGATCACCGACTCCACACACCCATGTACTTCTTCCTTAGTAACCTGTCTTTTGTAGACATCGCTTATTCTTCAGCCACAGCACCCAAGATGATTGCAGACTTTATTTCTGAGAAAAAGACTATTTCCTATTGGGGCTGTGTCGTTCAGATGTTTACCTTCCACTTTTTCGGTTGTGCTGAGATTTTTGTTTTGACCGTCATGGCTTTTGACCGTTATGCTGCCATCTGCCAACCCCTTCGTTATACCACCATCATGAGTGCCAATACTTGTATTGCGCTGGCATCGGTGTCCTGGTTAGGAGCCCTGGGCCATTCTTTTGTTCAAACCCTCCTGACCTTTCAGTTGCCCTTTTGCAATGCACAGGTCATAGATCATTACTTCTGTGATGTCCATCCAGTCCTGAAACTTGCTTGTGCCGATACAACTCTGGTAAATATATTGGTGATTGCCAACAGTGGCCTCATTTCCCTGGGATGTTTTCTCATTCTTATGACCTCCTACACAGTCATTCTGTTCAGTCTTCGAAATCGGTCCGCAGAGAGCCGCCGCAAGGCTCTCTCTACCTGTGGGTCTCATTTCACTGTAGTAACTTTATTCTTTGTCCCATGTATCTTCATTTATCTCCGCCCATCGACTACTTTCCCTCTGGATAAAGCTGTATCTGTATTTTATACTACCATCACCCCCATGCTCAACCCACTTATCTATACTCTGAGGAATGAGGATGTGAAGAATGCCATGAAACGGCTATGGAATCGCAAGGTCTTGAAGGAAACGCAGAAGGGATAGTTAGTCACAATTGCAAAATACGAGAACACATTAACTAATAATTTCACTGTTTTATAACATTCATAACTTTCAAAGATTTTCTCTAAAATCCAACAATCTTGTACTTTTCAATTAGCAGGGAATAACTTGCGGCAGTATCATTCCCCTGTGTTTAGGGGAACTTGAATTTAAACCTTTCCAGATTGGCAAGGTTTACCTCCCCTTCACAGTGGCTAACTGAACATCCCTACTCAGTATCGCATTTAACAGCTTTGTTTTTCTTATATACAATTAGTACTCTAAGCTTTGTTTTTCTTATATTCAATCTGTACTCTAAGCTATAATTAAATTATTTATAATGGGGTAACAAGCATAAAATATCTTAGAGAAATTCAAATAATTACTTCCAAAAGAAGAAATTTCAGTTTCTCAGGAGTTACTTCCTTGCCCGCCCTCCCTCCCTTCCTTCCTTCCTTCCTTCCTTCCTTCCTTCCTTCCTTCCTCCCTTTTGTCACAGTAAATAATATAATAAGAAAAATAGATTCACAAAGATATAATTATAATACAGAATAGAAAATGCACACAATAGACATAAAATGTACACCACATACAATGAAGTACCTAATAAAGGTTAACAAATTTTTCAAAGATTGAATAAAAGGCAGAAACTTACACATGTTTTGGTATGGATCAATTTTTAAAGTACCTGTTGAAGAATCTGGATACATTATATCATTCCAATATTATGTTTTTGCTGAAAATATATCCTTTTTAAAAATAGAATAATTAAAACTAAAATTAATAGACATTTGAATTTTTGACATCACCAATAGAGATATTTCTATTAGAAATGTTATAGTCTAAATTAAAAGTTTTATTTATTTACAACTATTATAATTATAATTTTGTCACATTTAGTGGTGCTTAGAAGCTACTCCCAGCTCTGTGCCTAGGGGTCACTCCTAACTATGCACAAAGGGCGATGCAACGCAAGGGAATGAACTGGTCCTCAAGTATGCAAAGCATATACTCAGTCCATTAAGCCATCTGGAGAATATATTCAAGTTTCAAAAATGGTAAAATAGGTAAAATGTTTTTATTTTATTCTGTGTATCTATTTTATATTTATTTCATGCTGTGTTCTTTGTAAAGTTAGAGAATTGAAGATTTGGTTATTCTTAACATAAAAAGTTACTTTAATTGTGAGGAATCTTACAAAGTCTGTTTTGCAACACATATCTTTCAACAAGTTGGCCCTGTTTTTGTTCAACAATATTTTTATGTACCTTGATCTATGCTGTATGTATTTTATTACATGGAATTACATAGTTTTTTTTTAGTTTTTAAAAATGCATTCTGTCTCACTTGCACAACTTATTAAGGAGGGAAAAATGCATATATATATATATATATTTCCTATGTGAACAGAGCTTGATGTATCATGGATATGTGTGGCAGATTCTGCTAGTATTACCCCACTATGCACTGTTTCTTTTTTTCATTAGTAAAGAAGATGATATTAGCAGTACCATTAAAACATTACATTTATCAGTTTCTCCTTTGCAGTTGAAAGAGGATAGTAGGATGTTGACATTAATTGGTGAGTGGCACCTTTGAACACTTTTCAAATGGTTTATCTTTAATACAATTCTTTTGTATTTAATCATTATTATCATTTTGCTGTTTTCCCCTATAGCAATTTTTCACATTTTCTTTCCTTTGCAAAAATGAATTTTTCTATAGTTTGTTCATATGTAATTAAATAATTTTTAAATAAAAATAAATTATTGTATAATTTTGTGTATGCCTGACATTAAATTTACAATGGCAGTCTACATTAGTGCTTTTTTTCCCTCATAAGAGATAAAGAAATAACAGCAATAAAATAAGGGGGAGAAACTTTAGACTTACAAAATAAGGAAACTAGACAAATCTAACTCTGTAAGAGGATTCCAAGTTTTTGGTTGAATTTTTAAACTTCTTCCTTAATTAATATAATTGTTATTTGAAGGAAAAAAGAGAAAGTGAGCCTTTGGAATTGCCAAGAAGACTTATGTAATCAGAGGTAATAGGGAAAGACGCACTTAACATTGCATATATATCTTCACACTGATAACAGAAAATATTTGCAATTCTGAAATGAGACATATGAAGCCAAAACAAGAGAATGAGATATCATTTTGAATTAAAAATGAGAAAATTAAACAAATCAATAGAGGTTTGAGTCACAGAAGCCTAAATATAATTAGAAAAAATATATAAAAATTTATGAATTAAATTCATAATAAGGCTGGAGCGATAGCACAGCAGTAGGGCGTTTGCCTTAAAAGCGGCCAACATGGCCGACCCGAGTTCGATTCCTCCGCCCCTCTCGGAGAGCCCGGCAAGCTACCGAGAGTATTTGATATGCCAGACACGGTAATAACAAAGTCTCCAATGGAGACGTTACTGGGCCCGCTCGAGCAAATCGACGATCAACGGGAGGGCCTTTACCTTTACCTTTATATAAAAATAAAAATGGAAAATAAAAAAGAAAAACTAGAAATGTGAAGAATTAAGTCAAGGCAAAACATTTTTTTAAAAAAAATTTTATCAATGAATTACCATGGGATATAGTTACAAACTTACGAACTTTTGTGTTTGCTTTACAGTCATACAATGATCATTTACCCACCCCTCCACCAGTGCCAATTTTCCCCCAACAATGTTCTCAGCATCCTTCCCACCACCCCCGCCCCCTACCCCACCACCCCACCCCGCCTAAGTGGCAGGGCATTCCCTTTTATTCTCTCTCCTTTTGAGTGTTGTGGTTTACAATAGAGGTATTGAGCAGCCATTGTGTTTTGTCTATTGCCTACTTTTGGCACGCATCTTTCAATCTGAATATGTCTTCCCAACGTCCTTGCTTAGTGTTCCCTTCTCTATCTGAGGTGCCTTTTCCCCCCAGCACGTGGGGCCGGTTTCCAAGCCGTGGAGCAAACCTCCTGGTTTTTATCTCTACTACTCTTGGGTGTTAGTTTCCCATTCTGCTATTTTATATTTCGTAGATGAGTGCAATCTTTCTATTCCTGTCCCTCTCTTTCTCACTTATTTCACTTAACATGATACTTTCTATGTTGATCCACTTATATGCAAATTTCATGACTTCATCTTTTCTAAAAGCTGCACAGTATTCCATTGTGTAGATGTACCAAAGTTTCTTTAACCAGTCATCTGTTCTTGGACACTCGGTTTATTCCAGATTTTGACTACGGTAAACAGTGCAGCAATGAACATACAAGTGCAGATGTCATTTTTACTATACTTTTTTGTCAAGACAAAACATTTATTGTACGTTTATTTCAAGAGAACAAAGATGGGGTACAGAATTTAAATGAAACAATACAAATAAAATTAGAACAAAAAGGTACAGAAAAAAATTCACTGAGTGCCCATCATGACAGTGAATGCTGATACCTGTTATTATAAAATTTTATTACTCTAGAATTGAAATTACAACATTATTAAGAAAGAGAAAAAAATAGTTTCAAATAGTGATCAAAATCAAGAGGCATTAGAATGCTCAAGAGCAGCATTGGACCCTTAAATAGAGTGAGGAAATCCTGAAGTTCATTTTCAGTTTAGAATTCTATACATAAAGGTAGCACTGTAGCACTGTCCTCCCATTGTTTATCTATCTGCTCGAGCAGGCACCAGTAGCGTCTCACAACAAATTGTGAGACATGTTGTTACTATTTTTAGCGTATTGAATACATCATGGGGAGCTTGCCAGGCTTTGCTGTGTGGGTGAGATACTCTCAGTAGCTTGCCAGGCTCTCCGAGAGGGGTGGAGGAATCGAACCCAGGTCGGCCGGCCGTGTGCAAGGCAAACGCCTTACCCACAGATATATAAAACAATACTTTTTTTCGTTATGCAAAATTCCAAAAATTTACTCCATCATTGCTCCTCTGAAAATAGAGAATGATGAGTTACAGCACAAAAAGAAAAATAGAAGAGATAGGATCTAGAAAAAAGTGGAGGGGTGGTCAAAACACTTAGTAGTGTTTTGGAAGCAGGCACAGTGGGCAAAAGAAGTAATGAAAACACAGTATAAATGGTGTAAGTAGTGAAGCTTCAAGCTCCAGAAAATAAAAAAAGAAGAGTGGAAACATGCCCATGTTGGAATATTTTAGTTATAAGGGTGGAGTCAATGGTTTGGAATAATGTATTTAAGGATACATTTGTAGAAAATTATTTATGTTATCTTGGATGCAAATAGAAAACTGACCACACTCAAAACAGGATAATTCAAAGATAGTTTACTAACAAGGAGTCTGTTTATAAAATAAAAGTATGTCTATCAAATAAAAGTATGGAGGAGTCACATGACACAGTTGAACAATCAGGAGTTAGAAGCAGTGTTAATATCACTACTTCTGAAGAGAAAAGGGTCTAAGATAGGTACAGAAGCTCTTCAGGGGATTTTGGGAGAAGCAATGATTTCCAATAGAGGGGCAATTGCAAGAGGGAAGGGGAGTAAATATCCAAACTTGCTTCCTTCTATTAAATCATCTTCCAGGGTAATAATCTGGGGCAACAAATTTTCCAAAAGAAACATAAAATAGCTGACTTAGTATAAAGGAAGAAAGTATAAGTATAAATAATTACTTGACAGCATATAAAAAAATATAATGGTATTATTACTATTGCTCTTATTATTATTTGCAGTAGTAATAATGATAGTATTAGAACACACACAGTCCTCCTGTTGTTCATCAATTTGCTTGAGCAGGCCCAGTAATAACATCTCCGTTGTGAGACTATACTTATTGTTACTGTGTACCCGTGACGTATTGGAAACGACATGGCCGACCCAAGTTCGATTCCTCCGCCCCTCTCGGAGAGCCTGGCAAGCTACCAAGAGTATTTGATATGTCGAACTCAGTAACAACAAAGTCTCCAATAGAGACGTTACTGGGCCTGCTCGATAGTATTACTATTTATAATAAAATTTTATTATAATTTTACTATATAACATTTT